AGCCCACACGCGCCGACAACGCCTGACCAGTGCGTGGGCAGACGGGACCGTGACCTCTCTCTCCGTGGCTGGGAACAGTGGCGGCTGGTAGCCATAAACACAGTGAAAGGGGACACAGGTGGAAACAATCAGGGCGGGGAAAACAATCAAGGACGCAGGAGACAGAAGGGGGCGGGGAGCGTGGAGGCCTGAAATGAGAGGGAGAATTAATTAAGGGAATAAACTTTCACTATAAGTTTCTTGGACATGACAGTTTTTTCATCATAATAATTGTACTTTCTTTTTAGAGGAGAAAAGAGAAAACTGTTGTCCATGCATCTGCAAAGTGTCTGACAGTGAGAAACAACATGAGCTGCTGACGGTGGCTGAAGTGGTAAAGAACTATAGTTAATCAAATTAAGCAATATTAAGTAATCATGATCAAGACAGGTCGACATAATCATGTAGTTTCTCTTGCATTTATGCAGGATCTTATGTCATTTAATACTAAAACTTGTGACCTAAAGATCCACTGATGACAGGAAAATGTCCGATCTGTGGGAGCAATTAGGAAACTGAAAATGTTTATGAAATAGGCCATTTATGGGTTTTTTATGTATCTATTCCAATTATGTTTCCCACACGATCATTCGAATCTTTTGATCACATTTTGTGAGGTCATCTTCTTCTGCAATGGTTCGATGGCACCCAACTGGAGAATCAACACCATTGTTAAACTTTATACCAATAAACCAACTCTTAATATTCCCAATATTGGCCGGACAATAGTGGATGGAGAAATGCATTCATTCCCATTTTCTCTAGCCAGTTTTCTTAAAATTCTCATGAAAACATATGTTTTACATTACACTATTAAACCTGTGTTTATCCTGTGTGATAACATGCACTTTGTCCACCCTGCTTGTAGTACATTACCATGAAACCACTCTAACATGACTCTGGGACTCCTGGTGCAGGTTAACAACAGCATTCAGTGGCGAGAGCCTCACGTGTTGCTGCTGATCCTGGAGGAGCTGAAGGAGCTGCAGCACACTCTGAATCTACACCTGAACTGCAGACACCAAGTAGGGAAGTGCGGCCAATGGGCGGCAAGAATCAACAGAGCTTTCTTCATTTTCTATCTCACTGCTGTGTCACTGTTTCTATCCCTCATCTTCATCGAGTGGAACAGACAAGAAAAATAATACTTTGTAATACCATAGGTTTCTGTGTTTTACCCTTATTTCCACAATTGTCGTGCTCTTATAAAGTCACACATTCTGTATTTATAGTATCACTTTGTGAAATCTATTTTATGTAGTTGAAATTAGATGACTTTTCCCAGTTTGAAAGTAAAGTTACATGATTCCGTAAATGTGTCTTGCAAAGAATTATACTGTTGTTAAAAGCTTAATACATTTTTACCAGTTGCCCAGTTTAAGGCATGGACTTTGAATAGGGCTGTAAACTAAAGAAAGCGTGAAAGTAAAATCTACATTTTTGAATTTCGATTCGAACCATGGCTGCTTTAAAACTTCTGGAATCATAAGCTGTGTCTCAATTTGGATACATGTATAACTTGCTTCATTCACTGGTAATAATTAATAATTCCTTACATTTATTATAGCGCTTTATCAATGACTCAAAGCGCTTTACATATACACACATTACACATATATGATACATGCAATGGTCAGATACTGTGGACAATACCCACAGGAGCAAGTTCAGGTGAAGTGTCTTGCCCAAGGACACACAGTAGCGCATTATAAATGCACCATCATAATGCATTTTGCCATACTTGTGTACTCAAAGCAGCAAATGTCAGTACATACAGTAAATGTGCAAATTGAGACTCAGCATTCGACAATGAATATCAATTTGTAAGCTTCAATGGATGTTTATTAGGACCTGTAAATGTCTTAAAATGGAAAGAATAAAGTAATTGAATGTAAATCCACAGATGTATTTACCGTTCTTTAATTGGCTGCTGCGCCCTAATTAGTTTCCCCTGTTCCTCTTTAGCCCTGCTGTCACCAGACCTCTGCCCACCTGTCCCCACCCCCACGTCACTCACTACCTAACTGTATTAATGAAAGTGCAGCTGTGTCCGGTGATGCACCTCGATGTAGTCACCATAGTCACAAGGGCAACCGATGTAAGAGACTTTACTGCCTCCAATTCCATCCATCACGGACATCATTTCTTTTTTTTATCTCTGTAATATTTCAAAGGATCTCTTTATGCAGAGCAATGGATCTTACCCCCATGTCCTGTTTGTCTACTTTTACCTCACAGCCCATCTGTCACTCCGACACTTTAAACTAATCATGGCCGTCCCACCAGCCTGATATCCTTTATGTTATAAATGCAATCAGAAAGGAGGGTGTTAAATAATAAGAGCCGACAAAATCATGTGCCCACTCATCCTATCTGCCTATCTGAAGTCCCCTCAGGACATTGTTTCAGCACATCGAATCACAGTGGATATTTTTTTCGTCATGCTCGCAGGCAATGTTGGCACATCAATCACTTTAGTCCAGACTGAAATATCTCAACTGTAGACCTTTTCACAGCAGACAATTTGACTTTTCAAAGCAGCACAACATATTATAGATAATGACATAAGTAATGTCTCACTTTTGTTACCACTTGTTTTGTTTCAGCCTCTATAACTATAATGGGCAGACACTATGAAAACTGGTGTTAGCAGCAGCTTTACAGCAGTCAAGAAACACTTGTTTTTAAAGTGAAACTGCTTCATTATTTGTTTTCAACTGTTTTCATTTGTTTGTTTGTTTTGGAGAGGAAGATACCTTTGCCTTCAATTCTGCCCCAGGTAAGAAATAGTCTAACCGGCAGAAGCAGACTGTTGGTGAGTAAAACAATACGCATGGTCTTACATTAGTTCATGGTGCCACCAAACGTTGTCTTTTGTTTTTGTATGGATTGAGAAATCCCTTTTGCTATGAAAATAACATATTTTGTATTTAACCATAGTGTGGTCACATCATAATAACATAATCTAGAGGGAATGTGCAAACCAATTATTGTTTTTGATTCATTTTAGGACCTCACAGAACTCCCAGTGTGGCCGTCGACTATTATTATTATTCACCATTAAGGTTCTTAGGTTTACATGATTAATAGAAAAAGAGTATGATGAGCATAAAAGGTCCACAATATATAACAGAATAATTGAAAGAGAACTTCGTATCCAATTATTTAATCTCTAATTATGCCCTAATCATTAATCAGACACTTCCTAAAAAACATTTGTTATGAACCGAGATACAGGACGCAGGACCCAAAAGCAGGACTCGGAGACAGTTGTCCAAAAATAGAATGTTCTTTAATCACAAAAACTAAATCGTACTTTCAAAAAATAGAAAGTAGTTAAACAGCCAAAACTAACTTGTACAGCAACACAAAAACTCACTTGGCAAAAGGTCTAAATCTCAAGGTAGGTATCAGGAGTCAAAAGGTCTAGGTGCTCACGACATGAAACATAACGAACTGACAAAGGAACAAAGAAACACCAGGACTATATATAGGTGAGGGGGATGGGCACAGGTGAAAACAATCAGGGCAGGGCCAAGCAATCTCACCACAAAGGCAGGAAATGTGGGATCTGGAATGACAGGAAAGATTATTTTCAAAATAAAAACGAAGTGACAAGATCAAAACACAAAACTATAGTAAAAACATAACTAAACCTAACATATCTGTCGAGTCACAACAACATTCCTTTATGTGACATCATCAATCTGATCATGCTTCATGATCCTTTCTTGAATGATTACCCAGGAAATAAAAAAAATATTGTATCCATCAAGTCATTTAATAGTTCTAATGTGTCCCTGACTTCTTTCACCAGATTTCCCCCCAACAGCGTCCTCTGGCTGAGTATGTGTGCCGCCACAAGAGGGTGAGCTCATCCTTTTTTTATGCTTTGGATTCTCAATATCGCCTTAAAGGTCACCTATTATGCAAAATCCACTTTTTCATGTCTTATATTCATGTCTCTGTGGAAAGAGATTCTGAAAGTTTCAGGAAAAAAGATTCTCTCACTTTTTGTCCTGATGCATTTCTATAAAAACCTGTCTGAAAATGAGCTGATCAGATTTTGGCCACTTTATGACGTAATAACGTTTTTTTGGCTTGTGTAACCATTAGCCAATCACCAACAGAGGTAACCCCCCCCCCTATCACCTGAATCTCCTCCTAGAGCACCATTGTGTTCTTTTTAACCAAATCTCTCTCAGAGGGGCGTGGGGAGGGGCTCCTTATTTTCACCTAAAGTAATAGACAGAGAATCAGCACTTTGGAAACAGGACTGAAACAGGGGATTATGGGATGCTGCAATGCACGATTTGTTTGGTATTTGGAGTCAAACACTTCAGAGATGTGTTTTGTATATATCTGACAGTATAATAGGGGAACTTTAAAGGTTCTGTTTCTTCAAATGTGATGATTACAAATCTGATAATCAAGCAGTGATTTCACTTTGAAGGTAGCTCCAGAACTTTACTCGTATTTGAAGATCACAAAATAAAAACCAACATGTATTTTTATGAAATGTGTTATCTTGAATTAAGTGTATTCAAATCTCCTTTTCAAACAAATGGTAACAGATACTTTAAAACATTATCATCAAGTGTATATAATGTTATCAATAGTACTAACTTTATAATAAATTAGGTGCTACTAACTTGTATGTATATGTGTTTGTATATGTATTACATTGTCTGGAGTATGCAAAGTATTTATTAGTGACTTACTTACTTAAACATCATTACAGCCACTTTAGTCTCCAGCCTCTTTTTCCTCTATGAGAACACAGAGGAATTCTGGGATAACCACTGTGGGAGTGACCACGTCTGGCTGTCATAATAATGTGACACATCAGCATCTTCCGGTATGTGGGAGACTTGGGGACATTTCCAGATAGTACTGAGAGGATGACATTACCTGTGCAGACATCTCACTCTGTTTGGATTCTCACAGTTGTTGCTGCCATGATGCTTACTGGTTTCATCTTTCTGCTCTTCCTCACAGGTAAGCCTGTTTATTTATTTAATGACAGTCCTCTGGTTCTGCTCATTTAAAGAATTTATTTTTGGTTTCCAGAGTAATACCAAAATGTACTAAAGAAAGAAAGAAAGAAAGAAAGGAAGGAAGTAAGCATATCAAAATTGTAAATATATAATTTGTTTTCTTTTTTAATGACATTTAAAAAATTGCTTATTATAGGAGCATTGAAAGAAAAAAAAACGGTGTACTTAGAGAACTTTGCTTACATAATTAGGTTTATATACCGGGATATGAGCCGGCAAAGGGTGCATGACTTCAACAACAAGCAATTTGGAGTTAATAGCAGATATCTCTCTGATGGAGAGTCCCATTTAAACTTGAATTACTGTAATAATGATCACTTTCGAAAGTCATTAGTGGACTGGTTGGATAAAACCCCTGCAGTTCTGCCAACGCCCATCTCATAATGGCCTTTCAGTGACCACAACCACAGGATATTGCTGCAGATATGTGTGAGCTGGTGTTTATTTCTGGTTTGATGATACACTCCGAAGCAATGAAAACCTACCCACAGAGAATAATGTCATTTTTCTCTGAATGTCCAGACCAACACCAGTACTAAGTTCTAATTTAGAAGGAACGTTTAAAAGAGCATGTTTCCACATTACCTTATTATGTAATGAGTCATTTTCTGAATGTCTTGATGTTTTTGCTGTAGATGGGGTGTTACCTGAGAATAACTGCAGTTATCAGGATGTTTTAAACCACCTGCAGCTGACCAAAACCAATGAGCTGTACTCAATGACCCGCCCCGTTAAAAACCACAAGCGCCCCACACGGGTTTCTCTGGAAGTGCTGCTCTATGCCATTCTGGATGTGGTAAGTGAAAGCTTTCATGTTTTCCCGAACTGTGAAAAGATATTCTGACGAAAAAGCTCATTGAACAATCTTCAGGGTTTTTAAGGAGGAAATGCAGTACAAGCAAATTGGTTCGTTGTTCTGTTCTCCAAATTTGAATGGAGATACTACCTTGTATTCACGTGTGTCTATAATAAACTAAATAACATTACAAATATGGCAATTGATTAACATTTAGCTGGAACAGAAGGAAACTGTTGCGACCTGGCTCATAATCTTATTAGCTTTTGTAATATTTACCTTTAATTGAGCCTAAGTCACCATATAATAATATATTTTATTTCTATAGCGCTTTTCTTGAACCCAAAGACGCTTTACATTTGGGAGGGAGGGTAGACAAACAAAACAAAGACATATGTAATGTAAACAAGTGTGATTGAGCCCAGATTTGTATTACTATGCCATACCAGGGGAAAACTTCTGCAGGTTTTCATGTATTACAAATAATATAATTTATTATTTTCAACTTTCACCGGGTGACCTCTTTAAACTCACTTTAGCCCTAATCAGACCTAACATATACTCGTTATTTATTTGTTTACAGGTTGAGAAAGATCAGAAATTCATCCCTTATGTTTGGACTGTCATGGTGAGTGCTGTGATGAATGCTGAAGGAACTTTTGTTTGGAAATGTTTTACCATTTAAACGATATATTATGTTTACCGTGGATCCTGTTTCTGTTTTCCTCTGTAGAGGTGGCACAATGAATACATATCCTGGGATCCAAATCAGTTTTGTGGAATTGATAGTGTTTCTCTTCCTGCTGAAGTGTTGTGGATACCAGATATCACTATTGAGGAAATGTAAGTGTAACCACACACACACACACACACACACACACACACACACACACACACACACACGCACACACACACACACACACACACACACACACACACACACACACACACACACACACACACACACACACACACACACACACACACACACACACACACACACACACACACACACACACACACACACACACTTTTTCTGTAATGGTCAGATTCTAATGTAGTTAGAAAATTAACAAATTAGACTAAACAAATACATGTCTGTCTTTTGCAGTAAACATCAATAGTTCACGTAATGTTTACCCTTTGTATTTTTTCTTATTTGTGACCAAGTCATATTTGTGATCTGGACCGTTATTTAAATAATAATTTTATAGTATTATCTCAGCAAGGCACTGTACCAGTAGGGATGCATATGGACTTTTAATTTGGTAAAATAATCCTTGTCAATTATATCTTCTCCTTCTTTTATTTTGAAAAAGTCCTGAATCAATTGCCATCATTTGTGTTTTTGTGTTCACATGTCTCTGTGTGTTCTCTTACAGGACAGAGAAGGACAAAGCCCCTCCGAGTCCTTATCTCACCATCAATGATAAAGGTGATGTTGAGGTCCAGAACAACCAGGTGCTGGTCAGCACTTGCAGGATGCACATTTACAAGTTCCCCTTTGACATACAGAACTGCAACCTCTCCTTCAAGTCTATCATACACACCGGTGAGAGCATGGCGAGTTCTGTAAGAGTTTGTTGTGACCTGAGGTAAACTTTAGGGGATGAATATCGGGGGTTCATTCATAAAATAACTGGTGAGGTACAGTTTTAATGGGGAAATCGAGCAAATGTTATGCAGATGCCCAATGATGATGGTCCATTGAAGAAATAAGTTCCTCAGGGTGGACTATATTGATCGAGAAAGGTAGCAAAAAAAATGCAACAATTAATCTTGAAACTGGTGAGTCATTGCAGGAAATAAGTTAAAAATAAGCAGCATTTTTTTTGCATCATACAAATCAGCTTTGTGAATATAATGTCCAATAGACTCATTCGGAGAGAAAAACTGCCTCTTAAAAAATACCTTTTGTCTTTGCAATGATGCACTCGGCCTGTGAATAAAAGTCGCAATGCTACCTAAAGTGTTTAAACAAAGCAAAAGTCACACTTCTGCATGTGCAATGTCAGCAAATGAACTCAATCATGTCATGCTACAACTTTTAATACAAAAAACTAAACTTTTTTCCAAAATGTTACAGTGCTTCACATTAAAAACAGTCTGTTCCGCCACATTTTCATAATGAATATTTTTACACCTGCCAACACGTAGAGTTTGCTGGAGGGATTCAACTTTGCAGGTCATAGACGGTCTCACATTGTGGGTGGATCCTCTGGGACATCTTTCAAGTGCCTCTGTGGAGGTTTAGCAAGACCACCGATGTGGAGCCCAGGGTGAAGGTGGCTTGCGACTCCTATCTTGAGCTTTACAGCACCCCTCGCCCACACCTCACCACTTCCCAGGGCCAGGGACTTAGTTCTTGCTGTACCCTCTCTCCATTTGATGAACTGGGGTGGATTGTCTTTACTGCGAGGGCTCTGCAACAATGTTGACAACCCATTCAAACACCTCTTGAAACCCCTTTTGTTCACCATGCTTTTTGGGTGTGAATGTTATCAACATTAATATCTATACAACAAATGAGTTTTAACATTGTTTATAGATGTACCCTCTTTATTTGCACCAGATCAAGTTAATTTGGTTTTAATGTTAAATAGTTTATTCCGTATTTCCAACATAACAAAGTATGTCCTGCTGCCTCTACTGGCTTGTGAATCAAACTTACAATGGCTTACTGTCTCAACCACTCCCAGCACTTTACATCCATTCTCATCTAAAACCACCTTTCCGTCCATTTATCTTTCGTTCCAGCAAAGGATATTCGACTCCAGCCAAGCGACAACTCTACAGATGCCACAGAGTGGTCCCGTGACGTGATGCGGACCCAGTACGAATGGTTGTTTCTCAACATGACCGTTACCACCAACAACGCCAGCGATCTGATCAGCCAAGACATCATCATTTACACTGTACGTATACAGATGTACACAGTATCCTTTTCTTTCTTTCAGTTTGTGACCAAATGTCCCTTATTCCCTCATTACCCCCATAATGTTCTGTCCATCAACCTTTCCTTATTTCTTTCACGTTTTGGTCCTCAATATTTCTCTTTTCCATTTATATCCTTCTCACTTTTGCTACTTTATCTGATCTGAAAATGTAAATAAAATTGTATCTCAGAAATATATTTTCTTGAGTCCATTTTACAGGTTTTTCCTCAAATAAATCTATTGATAGAGAATGTACTCGAAGAAAAATACTTTTTGGTCTTAAAAATCAAATCCAAACCACTGATGTAGAAAAATAAGAACAGAGTAGAAGTTTTTGATGCAGCTGCATTGATGTAAATGTGCATGCTGCATTGGCATTCTATTCCTAATGTTATGTTTATTCTAAGAAAGTTTAACCTTTATATAAAAGCCCATTGTGTTGCATATTTTTGTATGAAAGGTGCTATACAAACAAAGTTCTTTATTAGAAGAACATATATAATTGTTATTTTAACATATTATTTAAAACATTTCAAGATTAAACATATCAACTATCTGACACCAAAATGTATTTCCCAGATCACCATGAAGAGGCGGTCTCTCCTCTATATTGTCAACTTCCTGGTACCTATCCTGTTCTTCCTGTGTCTGGACTTGGCCTCCTTCCTGATCTCAGACAACGGGGGAGAGAAGCTCAGCTTCAAGGTCACTGTGCTGCTCGCTGTCACTGTGTTACAACTTATTCTGAATGAAATTCTCCCTGCCTCTTCAAACAGGATTCCTCTTATTGGTAAAGCAGCTCAGAGTCATTCCTATTGGACTGTCAATGTGTGTTTATTTGTCTTTATTAATGCTGCTGCCTTCTCCCTCAGCGGTTTATTGCATTGGGATTTTTGCTCTGATGCTACTAAGCCTCCTGGAGACAATTTTGGTGATGCATCTGATGGAAAAAGACTCCCAAGCATCCCAAGACAACAAGGCAGATAATGGTCGGAGCAAGGACTGTAACAAGAGGGGCAAGGCCAACTTCCACGATAGTCACCAAGGTAAGACCAGGATCGATTTTCCATTTTGACGATGGGTTCCACCATCGGCGAGAAGGGGCCATTATGAAGCCCTCTTTGTGCCCCGGACCTATATATAAAGCGTCTTAAATGTTGTGATCCTATTTCAAAATGGTCTCTTGTTATGATGTATTTTAGTTGTTGTTTTGATTACATTCCGGTTAATTGTAATATCCTTTCAGAGGGGAACGAATGGACTCAATGCGGCTGTATCTATGATGTGTGTGAAACTCCGTCTGAATTGCTGCCTGTAACCAAAGAGGTTAGATTTGAGTTGCACTTTGCCACAAAATGCCAAATCGCAAACAGAACTGATGATAAAGGTACAATCCATAGTTGTGTGAACCAGACTACAAAATATGTTTTGCAGGGCAACAGCAGAAAGGTGATGGAGGAGTATCATGCCTTGGAGAAGCTCTCAGATGAGCTGAGGGAGATGCAGAAAACATTGTCCCTACTCCTCAGCAACACCAAGGAAGTGGCGAAGCCTGGTTACTGGACCAGAGTGGCAAACAAAGTCAACAAAGTTTTCTTTATTTTCTATTTAACAGTGGTAAGTCTGTTCTTAATTATTATCTTTTTTAAATGGAACACTGGATAGAAGTGATTATTGCTACATCATAAAAACACAATTGTCTGTTTCTATTTCAATAATTACACTAAAATGAGTATATCTAATCTTTTCATTTCTTCAGTGTCTAATATGCACAATGTGTATACACAGGTTGTCTAGATTCGTAGTTGATGTTTATATGTAATATAAAAGTCGTTAATCTGAAGATACAGTATTAGCTTTGAAAACGTATATCAAGCTCATAGTATCACACAAATAAATAATACAATACAAATTATGCATGCTCTTTTTTATGCTTAATGTATGCTTAGTGCATGTGATGTATTAGTGTTTTGCATAACATTTTAATTTCATACTTGTTTTGTATAATGCATTCCTGATTATATATCTTAAGAGAACTATTGTGAAAATAAGTTGCTCTCAATTTGATAAATAAAGGTTATCTGTCTTCAAAAAGTAGGCTACTAGTAAATTATCATTTGTCTCCTGAAACAAACACACACAGTTTGTTTTTTATCAGTTGTGGGGACCAAATGATTTGCTTTGGTCAATTGTGGGGACATATTTGTATGGATGCAATTTCTGGTGTGCTTGGCACTAGTTATTTTAATGTACTATTTCATATTCCTCTGTATGTTCATTAAAAAAAATGTATGTGTTAAATTCAGTGGTGAACCGTCATGGCCTTCAAGGTATTCAGAGAATACCCTGGAACACTCAGATAAAACAAACAAAAAATCGATTTAATTATATAAATAAAATGAATAAATGAGAATTGTATCTGTGTTGTTGATCTGTAATATTACAGTGTTACGTTGATTTGTTTGTCCTTCTCGGACCATGCACTACGCATTTCAGTGGTTTTGTGTTAGAAAAGAAAGCAACCAATCAGATCTTGTCCTTCAACCAAGGTATTCTACATCCTTGATCGAATGCCCTGGGGCCTCATTTATAAAGGGATATACGCTCAAAAAATGGCGTACACCAGTTTCTACACAATGTTTGCGATTTATAAAATACAAACTTGACGGAAAAATGTGCGGTCCTCCACGCAAACGCTAACCCATGCGTACGCACTAAGCACAAAAACGGGAGAGACGAGATACTGCGACACCGTTGGCAGAAGGAAGAATGGAGAGAAATGTGTGGAAATAATACCCTAAATAGAATGTTACCTCTCATTTATCATATAGGCCTATGAAGAATTCATTTTCAAACATTGATTAAAGCCAATCTTAAAATGATTTAACAAACGCCTGTTTGAGACTCCTCAGTGCACACAAAAACATAACTTGGAGAAATAAATAAATACGGATATGTTACTTAAAACCACCTCGAATATGTTGTGTCAATGTTATGAAATGTTTTCTCATAAATGATGCGGTAAGCAGGAGGACAGAATTACGTCTAAACTGACGCCGTTTTGCATTTCTATAGGTTGTAGATACGAGCATGGTTTTATATGCTATCATGTTTAATCGTGTTTTATGCCTTTTGCCAAGACTTGATAAGTCGTTCGTAAAACACAGGAGGTATGGAAACTAAGAACACCATAGCTGGTCAATTGAACAGCTAATACATTAGTTGTATTTCCTTTAACTGGTGGATTATGGATAGCCTATATAGTTGCTGATCGACAGCTGGAACACAAACCACCAAATACAAATAAATAATTCAGATCCAGTCGTCATGACTCCACTCCGGAGGGATTCCCTGATCATTTCTTAGTTTCTCATCAAGGGGCTGTCTCCTGTCCCCGGTACAAACACACTGCCTGAGGAAGGCTATGCGTATTTTTTTTTGTCATGAACCTTTTTCGGACCACTTATTTATTTATTTTGGTGACGGTCCGACCTCCATGCTGCTACTCTGGTTCAAACTGCATCCACCAAACAATGTGATTTATCTCCACCTCCCCAAAATAACCAAAATCTGACACGGGTTGCGTTCCGATAATCCAAAAAGTAGCTCCTAAATTCTAACCCTATCTCCTATTCCTTGACCTCTGAGTGAAACGTCACGGGGTTAAGGTTAAGGATTTAGCAGAAAAGACTGCGGTGCTTAGAGAATCCGACTGCACTTTCACTATCCGACGTGTTTATGATGCGCCAGCGGACATCATGAATGCTGCTGCTGTGGGGAAACTATGGAAACTATAGTTTTCTATACAGCGGACTACAACATGGATGTTTAATAAGAACGAGGGACTACTGTAAACTCATCTAGAGACTCTGCACCATGCTCTGATGCTGTTGTTTTATGCTTTATGAACGTGGACAACAGAGAAACATATTCTTCATGACCAAAGTTGGAATTGAAATAAAAAAGGAAAGTGAAACTTATGCTCCTCACCCTCTCCCTCCGGTCCACATTAATACAAATAATCCCAATACGTATGATTGTATGAACTATTAAAAGATCTTAAAATAAATACAAATGTAGGCTATTTATTATAAACGTTAGTCCTTAACATCTATCACTGTGTACAACCCCACACAGCTCAGTGAAATGTTGACTTTATTTGATCATTTCAGTAAAAACTAACGTTCATATTTCTCTTTTTGATTATAATACTGATGAACGTTCAAAACAAAGCACTTTGGCAACTTACCACATACGTTTTAAAATGCTTAATAAGCACCGTAACTTTCATGATATAATTTCTCCCATTATCGGTTGTTTTCCTGAACGGCCGACTGTTGACATCTCAACATCCGGTTTCACTATGAGTGGTCGCATTTTCGAGAGCTCCCGCTTTGGCGGTTATTCCTCACGATTTTTTTACATATTTCATCCTCCTGACAATATGGATTATGGACTCCTACCTCAACTCATCAATGAGGCAACATCACTTAGAGAAGGAGAGTAATGAAAGAGGGGATACAATGAACCACAATGACTTTTACCTTCTCAACGGCTGTGAAAGGAAACACCTCGCTTTTGGAAGTGCAAGCATTCATGCCTTATTAACTTCAAACCCGACGCGAAAGTACTTACCCCCGTCAGGCAAACTAGACCGAAGAAGTATGATCGTCTTGGTCTTATTGTTAGCGGGAGACATCCATCTGAATCCGGGCCCGGTGCAGACAAGAAGCCAGTCCTGCAGGCTCGAGGGGCTAGCATCTCAATTAGCATCAGAACTAGCATCTCTTCCGCTGCAACAACAACTACGCGACGACAACAGAGACCGTGGAGACAGCGGAGACCGAGGAATTAACGGATACTTCGAGATTCCCCCGGGGACGCCTCGGCAGACAGACACGCATGAGGCAGTGACGAGAGGAAGAGAACCGAGATCCGAGGGAACAAATATCCGCCATGTTGTTAGCCATGTTGTTAGCCACCCTGCTAGCATATCAACGGCTAAAGCTACAACGGAGCCTCCCTCCCCCCACCACCACCACCACCACCCCCACCACCCCACCACGACAAGCCGGTTGCTGTAACGGACAAAGACAAATATCTGCAAACTGACGACATTGTGCATTTAAGCAACAAAAATGGACTGCATATTTTTCATCTGAACACTAACAGCCTGAGACACAAACTGGCTGAACTCAGGCAGCTATTCATGAACGGTAAGGCAAGCATATTATGCTTTTCTGAGACCAAATTGGACAATTCCATTACAGATTCAGAGATTGAAATTGAAGATTATCTTGTAGTGAGAAGGGACAGGAACGTGAATGGAGGTGGTGTCTGCATGTACATACATAAAGACACCAATTTCAAAAACCGTACTGACCTGCATCATGAAAATATTGAATCTGTGTGGGTTGAAATTATTTTTGACAATGCTAAATCTGTAATAGTCGGGACAATCTATAGACCACCGGAACAGAGTGACTTTTATGATACATTAGATGGGTGTTTGGCTGATGTGGGGGATGTAGAGACAATTATTATTGGAGACTGGAACACGGATATGCAACGTAAAGACACGTCCGTCTTCAAGTCCTTCAGTAGGATTTGTGATCTGCACGGCTTCAGCCAGCTAATCACCCAACCCACCCGGGTATGTGAAACAACACAAACTACCATTGATCTCATTCTGACCTCTGACAAGTCCAGGATCTCCAGTAAAGGGGTTATAGCATGCGGGTTAAGTGATCATTATATGATATTCTGTACCCGCAAAAAGCTAAAACAAAGGGCCGGCTGTCACAAAACAGTCATATCTAGAGACCTCAAAAACTACTCTAGCGAGGCCTTTAACCTAGAACTGGAGAGCCTGGACTGGTCAGATGAGCTCAGTGGTCAGATGAGCTCAGTGGTACACAAGTTGAAGAAACATGGCTTGGTTTCAAAAACAAATTCTCTGCAATACTCAATGATTTGGCCCCCCTAAGAACAACCAGGGTAAAAAATCGCGCTGAGCCGTGGATGCACTCCGGCATACTGACCGCCATGAAAACCAGAGACAAAAAAATGCTCTGAGTTTCATAAAAGTCAGTCAATGCTTTCCAAAAGCACGAGCAGTGAACTCCAGGCCCACGTGACTGAACTCAAAATTGAAAGAAACAGACTAAGAAATGACGTAAGCTCCATGATCAAAACTGCCAAAAAGAATTTCATCAATGTCAAAACTGAGGAAAACAAAAATAAACCCCGTGAACTTTGGAAATTACTCAATAACCAGCTTGGCTGCAGTAAAAAAACTCAAAACGAGATTTTCTAACTTAAACATAAAGACAGATAACAGGCTCATCACAGACAAACTGGATGTGGCCAAATACTTGAACATTTTTTTTCACAAACATAGCCACAACTCTTGTAAATAAATTACCCTCCCACTCAGGGCTTTTTGGAGTAGATCACATCATGACCTACTACAAAAACCTAGGGGTACGCAAAGATGATTTCAGTCTAGCAAGGGTAACAACAGCAGAGGTACTCATTAAGCTGAGCGCCCTCCAACCTAACAAGGCCACTGGCCATGACAATATCCCCTCCAAATTCCTCAGAGACACAGCAACCGCCATCTCACCAGTCATAGCTCACATAATTAACCTCTCCATAAAACAGGGAAAAGTACCCAAAGACTTCAAAATTGCAAGAGTAACCCCCCTGCACAAAAAGGGCAGCAAATTGGACCCAGGCAACTACCGCCCTGTTTCTATACTTACCTCCATCTCGAAAGTCAGGAAAAAATAGTATATGAACAGGTCGAAAAGTACCTCACGGAAAAGAAACTAATCTATGAATTTCAATCTGGCTTTAGAACATCCCACTCCACTGACACATGCCTTCTTTATTTGAGCGACCTCATCAAACAAGAGGTGGACGAGGGAAAGTACTGCGGCATGGTGATGCTGGACCTACAAAAGGCTTTCGACACTGTCAATCACCCCATTCTGATTGACAAGCTAAAAGCAATTGGTTTTGATAAACTATCGGTGAGCTGGATGCAATCCTACCTGGAGGGGAGAGAACAGATGGTGGAGGTAAACGGTACTCTGTCCCCCCCCCTCCCAGTGAGCTGTGGTGTTCCACAAGGAAGCATATTAGGTCCGTTACTGTTCCTATTTTATGTAAATGACATGTCATCAGCATGTGACTGCAACTTGTTCCTGTTCGCGGACGACTCAGCCCTGCTGGTCTCTGACAGGAACAGGTTGCAGGTTGAAAAAACCCTCAGCTCCGAGCTCGGCAGAATCTGCACCTGGCTCGCCGATAATAGATTATCATTACACCTGGGTAAAACAGAGTCCATTCTCTTCGGTTCGAAACATAATCTCAGCAAATCCGACGACTTCTCAGTTGCAGTGGGCAACATTATTGTCACAAGTAAGAAGGAAATTACATACCTAGGATCTATTCTTGAGGCAAACCTCTCCTGTGACAAAATGGCATCCAATGTAATAAAAAAAGTCAATCAAAGAACTAGATTCCTATACCGGATCTCCTCTCTGGTAAACAAAAACACCCTGAAAACTCTGGCAGGAGCACTCATTCAAGGGTACTATGACTATGCTTGCACGTCATGGTACCATAGCACCTCCAAGGCGCTAAAAATAAAACTTCAAACATCGCAAAATAAACTGGTCAGACTACTGCTTGACCTTTCATCTAGAACCCACCTCACCTCTGCCCACTTTGACAACCTAGGATGGCTTAGAGTAGACGACAGAGTACAGCTACTTGCAATAGGCCTGGTCTACAAGATCCACTACACCTCTATGGTACCCATGTACATGTCAAAATTCTTCCCAAAGGTCAAGGAATACCATGATCATAACACCAGAGGGAGCTCCACAAATCATGTGAAACCCAGATTTGGCACAAAAAAGGGGGAATACACATTTCGCAATTATGCCACATCAAGGTGGAACGCTCTTCCCACAACTGTAAAGGAAAGTAAAACTATACTTACCTTCAAAACCTCTCTTAAAGAGCACCTTCGGGGGAGAGCATTGCAAAACTGGCCCCGGTAATGGTACAAATCTCAACCTGTCGTTCAATGGACAGCTTCCCCCCCCCCCCATCTATGTATATACTCGCATTTTAGACTCTGTTACTAACTGTATATCTGTAGACTTGGTATGTCTTAAATGTCCGGTTAGGATGTATTAGAACGAAATCTAAAATGAAAATTGTAAACAAGCAATCTGTATGTAAAAAAAAAACACCTGTATGTAAATTGTAAATAAGCCATCTGTATGTCAAATATGTCTTATATGTCTTAAATGACATGATGAATTGGAAATGGGGGACCCTGATGTAAACAAGACGAAAGTCTTTCTCTGGTCTGCATCCCCTTAACAATTGTATGTTTTGAGCTGTACTGTACTGTACCCAATATACAAGCTGTTAATAAACTTTTCAATCAATCAATCAATCAATTGAGTGACGGCAAATGCTGCGGCTGCAATGCATTGTGGGGCAGCATTTTCTCCTCTCCTTTCGGTTAGGGAGGTCCAGTGGTTCCTGAGCTAAAGGAGGTTATAAACAGGGGTGCACATAACTTTTTTGCCCTGGTTCTCAAAGGAGCACCTGGAGATGTTGCTTGGTGCTCATCCTTAAAATGAAATAAACCGTAACTTTTGAGGGGGTCTTGACTTTATTTGCCAGACACACGGCACTAAACACACATGCAGAGGTGAACACAGAACACCCATGCAGAGGTGAACACAGAACACACATGCAGAGGTGAACACAGAACACACATGCAGAGGTGAACACAAGACAACATTAGCACGACCAGTCACAAGCTATCATCACTACCCTCCTGACTGTTCTCCTCACTGTCTTCCTCTCTGTCAGACATGGTAGCTGATGATGTAGGCCTGCTACTTTCTCTCTGGTTGAGTCTGCGATTAGCTGCTTGCATCCACAAGTCAACAGCTGGGTTTGGGTCGAAAGTCTCTGTTGTCATCTTAGAAAAGTGGATGTAATCAAATAAGTATGTGAACATAACCAATAACCTACCATAGCCAATAACAAATTAATGTAACTTATTTTATTTGTGTTGTTCATTCATATCTTATTTTACCTTAAAGGTCACATGTCATGGCCATTTCCACTGATCATAATTCCATTGTTGATGTCTACTAGAATAGATTTATACTGTGCAATTTTCCAAACTCACATTGTTTCGCATACAGCATCTCTGTAAACTACGTGTATTCACTCTCTCCACTAAACGGCTCGTTGCAGCTCTTGCCCCCCCTCCCTGTGAGCCCAGTGTGCTCCGATTGGTCAGCTCGGCCCCTCTGTTCTGATTTGTCAACCACCAGAGAGGCTCTGCCCCTGTTGACATCTGCCGTAAAGTGGTTTAGCGGGTACTTAGCCCACTTAGCCCATGGTGTTTTTTCGGCTCTGAGCGGAGTAGCAGAAATGAAATCGCGTCAGTAAAGCCATATATGTACGAACCGGAGTCCGACCCTGAGAGTGAAACGGACCGTGATGGACCTGATCCACCGTCCCAAACAAGAATACAGCAGGCGGTTTCACAGTGGAACGTTTTAATTTTGTATAGCTGCTACATTTCAGATGTAATGTTAGAACTTCATCATTTATCTACATCACAGTAACAAGTGTGTCCGCTGACTAACCAAACTTTCCAACTGTTATTTAGGTGCACGTGTGGAAACTGCGCAGTAATGCCTACCGAGGTGGAAAACCTCTGTTGCAGGGAGATTAGAAAGGTGACAGTGTAGTGCCGATGAAAGGGAGTCGGGGGCGGTGTGTTTAGAATCAGGTAAAATACATGTCTGCTGTCTGACAAGCTAGGAATGACAAGCTAAACCTAAGAGCACACACACTAAAGGGTCCGTGTGGCAACACTATACCAAAGGTGAATTATGGTCAAAACAGGGTGTCACCACAACAAATACAAAAACACCAACAGTAGCACACAACATTATATACACCATACATACTTGTCAAGTCAATAGACTATATGCCCTTTTATTTATTCTATAGTAATTGAATGTTTATTTTGTAATCCTCGCCATAGTTGGATTTAATTGCTAAACGTATTATGTTACAAATATCTTATCCTCCTATAGGTTTTAACACGAATGCACCAAGTCCCAGAACCCATTGTGTGCATGGTTGACCACCCCGGACTAGAACCAAACTGCCTCAATCCCTACACCCTGCAGAATCTCCACAATATTTATCGGTTTGATTATGGACCTTTGAGGCGTAGAACTGAAGAAGAGTAAGTTATTTTTAGCTATAATAAACTAAAATAAAATAAAAATAAATGAAAAATCAAATAATGGTTTGCTATATATGAATGATCTAGGAGCAAATAATTCAGGGAAGAAAGGCTATCAAGTAGTTCCATCAAACTTTATTTTGATAAATGTACAAATTGATCATGTGTTATATATACACATGATCACTGTATGAGATAAGATGGACCTTTATTAATCCCTGTGGGGAAATTCAGTTGTTCAAGCAGCCAGAGGGTAAGGGTGAAAAACAGGACAGCACATATATGTTATCATCCATTCCTCCTCTTATAGGCGTTTTAGGCATCTGGCCTATCGCAGCTTCGTAAGCTGGTGCTGGGGCTTTTTGGGACGAGGAATCACAGTGGTCATCCCGTCGTGTGTGGTCCGCCGGATACGCCAGGAGTTCCCTGATCTGGCTGGACAGTACGTGGGCTTCCGACCGCCCCTAGACTAAAACGTGAGACATGGCGGGCTACCACTTCCTCCTTTGAGGGCCTGTCAAATTGAGTGGATTGATGTTGATTTTATTCATCTCCTCCACAAAGGGTGTTGGGTCCTCAAAGACTTCTTCAAACACCAGCCTCATCAGCTCACCCACGTACACTGAAAAATATAACATTCATATAATAATTAATTATTTGTATACACTTATTCATTTCTCTTTTATTCTTTCATTGTACAGATAATTCAGTGTAATTCAGTGTTCAGCATCAACAGCCAGCACGCCTAAAATTACACCCAGAAAGAGAATCCCACCTGAACAAGCTGGAAGTCCACAATGGTGTTGCTTCCCAGGTGCATTAGTGTGTAGCTCCCAAACTTAGCTGAGTGGCCTGAAGAAAATATAATACAGGAGGTTTCAAGACTTTTCAACAGAATTTCAATGGATAAGTAGATGAATTGTAATATACACCAGTAACTCTGGCACTAGACTGTCTTGTCTGTTTCTGCTTACCTGGAGAGTCTGCTCTCATATCTCCTGCAACTGTGACCTTTCCCCCCTGGTGGTGTAGTTGCTGGAAAATCTTCAGCTGATCAGTTTTCCACTTGTGGATAATAGCAGGCTCCAGCTAATGCCTAGCATGCCTCCTGAAGGTCTCATACTGGAAGATCTCCAGCTGCATGGCTCTGCATATCTATGAATAAATAGAAAAACAGGACAAGTATTTGAAAAAGTCCACTTCTGTCATTTTTCATATGCGTAAGATGGTAAAAATACCTTTTTTAGTTGGAAGAAGGAAGCACCAGTGAAGTATGTAGCAGCAGATAATTGTAAGTTGCCAACCGGGGTACTTCCAATGATGGGCTGGCTCTCCCATTGTCTGAAGTAAGTGCAGTTTGGACAACGCTGTTTGAACGCCACAAAAGTCAAATTTTTCGTTTTTGGACATCACAGTCCATCTTACAAAACGGAAATTTTTCAAACAGCTGTCCGAGGCAGCTTTCAAACACAATGTACTTTGCGTCACTGTGCGTGGATCGTGTCTGAAGTCTAATGTAACAAAACAAAATTAACAATACATTTTAGATGTCAACTCTGAACAACAGTAATAGTAATGTGTACCAAATATACCAAACTTACGATACGTCAGATTCTTCTACAGTATCATCAGGGTGGTAACTCGAATCCAGAGTCTCTTCAAATTCAATCGAAGTCTCTCCTTGTTCCTGCTCCAACTCTAGTCGAGGTCTCTTGCTAGGTCCCAATCCTGGGCCCTTTATTGGTGTAGAGGACAAGGGGATTTCTGTGTAGGTGGAAGTTTTAGTGCCAACACTTTTGAAAGACACCGTGGCCTGGATGCCTGTTAATAAAAAAGGGAAAAGTGCATAAATACTATGTACATTAGATAAGACACTAATACATTGTAAAAGGCCAACAACTTGTGTACATCTGACAGATTAATTCATGAAAAATGTACAAACTACAAACAGCACTGTATTTCTTGTAGTCAACATAACAGTATTTCTGTGATATACAATAATATCAAATAAGGTTTTATTTATAGAGCACATTTGAAAACGATTTTTGGTCGAGCCCAAGTGCTGTACATGTAATAAAAGCACAATTAAGGTAATGTATCTGTGATTTGTCAGTGTTATAGTCTACCTTTGCTTCTCACGTGGGCCGATTTCAGTGTTCCCCGGGCCAACTGTGTAGCAACAGAAATGGCGGACACTTTACATTCCACTGTCTGTGTTCCCACAGACCGTGTCTCAACCCTCTGAGTTCCCACACAAACAGTCTGTGGACGGTCTGTTTGACATCCGACTGTACTGGAGCGGTGGGTATTGTGTTCCTGCTGTGATGTACTCTAAGAAAGATACACATAGTATTCATACAATTAATTTTGTATCCGAGGAAAACAGTCAATTTCATAAAAGCAACACTTTTACAATTACAATGTTCTACAGATAGTCTGCTACCTTTTCCCATGTAGCGTAATATTTCAGACTCTTTGTAGCTCAGTAGCATAGCTGCTAGGACCGCCAACTTCAATTTAATTATGTTTGGCGACTGACCGTACATTAGCCAGAGTATCTGGTATCTGAGTATTTCGTGTGTGTTTGCAGACGAAATTCTCCAGCTATGATTATCTATCAGTAATCAACACAGTTAGCTTGCCAGCTAATATGCTAACCTAATATGCAGTTTAACAGCTAGTCTAGGCTTAGCAAGAACATCTTACAATTGCAATATTATACAGTTAGTCTGCTACGTTCGGTCATTCATTGTAGCTGGCATGAAAACAATGTTTTTTCATAACATCTCTAGGTTAGAGCTTCTAGCTTAGCTTATTAATGGTAGCTCGGTAGAATACACGAACGGCAACTGTAATTACTGACCGTACGGTTAAATCACCCAGAGTATACTGTCTATGAGTATTTCGTGTGTGTTTGCAGACATTCTCCTGCTATGAGATACATGTAAGGCCATGTGCTAACATCGGTGTTGAGGTCTGGGAATGCTAGGTAGCCCTCGTGTTTACCTCGGTAGCATAGTATTAGCATAGCATTTACAGAGTCGTGGTAGATACATTGTTTGTTTTAAACAGAATAAATACACAAACCACAATGAATACTTACAGGTTGTGTACCCAAATCTCCCGCTGGTCCAAACAAAGTAGGAACAGCATCGTCCTCCAATATCAGCTTTACAGCATGTCCGAAGCTAAGGTCCGTGAAATGCCGCGCACACACAACAGTACCGGCTGGTAAATCAGCTGGAACAGTGTTAAAAAGGAATGTCAACCACTGACTTCGTCGTGGTTCTGCCTTCGGTACTGCAAACATTGTGGATTTCTCCACACAATACAGGCAACAGACCCTCCGCGACATGACTGGATAGAGCTTTGAAAAGAAGCAGGTTTTACGACACTTAATATGGTCGACTGGCCGAAGAAGTGACGTTGCACGGTGCAGCCACGTCACACGGGGCAGGAAGTAAACAATGGAAACTGAGAAATCTCCAACGAGGCTTTTGGGGGAGGTATTTTCTGTGTTAGAGTTTACTCGCTACAGGGTGTACTTTGAGGGTTTTGAATTTGCAGACTGTTTACATGCATAAAAACCTTCATAACACACAAGGGGACGGGCAATAACCGGAAAAGCATGACATGTCACCTTTAACATTTATTTATTTATGCAGTTTTTTTTATCTCTCCAGTTTTAAAGGATATTTTTGGTTACTGTCCTATAGTATACATTGGAATGATTTCAAACCTGTTTATCCCAATAATTATAAAGTAGTGCCTTGGAAATATGTGTTTACATAAATTGCATTGTGTTCTCATTTATTGAATACATAAATTCAGCTGCCGGCAATGCTGCCCCCCTTGGAGCATTTGTACTGCATATTACACCTTATAACATGATTGTTAAAATGTATTCACTTTGCATCAATGAGATTGGATTGTTGATCATTGAAATAATATATACATTCAGAGACATTGTAGTTGACATCCAGGGTTGGGAGGGTTACTTTGTAAATGTAATCAGTTACTGATTTCTGAATACATGGCTCTGAAAGTAATCCGAATACAGTTACAGTTACGTGTCTTAAAAAAGTAATCAGATTACTTTTAGATTACTTTTGCATTAGGCCTACTTTCTTTTTCCATCACAGATAGATGGGTATGTTTTGGTGTACAGGAGACACAAAAAGCAAAAGGAAACTGAACGTGTTTCTACTGTTTTAATGGCTTATCAAGAGCACAATTGAAACATAACATCTGAAACGATGTAACAACATAATACACTTTTTGGGGATGCAGCTTGGGATGTGAGGAGTGAGGGACACGGCTTAGAACGGGCGTGTCGCCTTCTGCAGCACATGAATTAAAATGTCGAACTCGGACTTCATTTTAAGGACATTTCGGCCAGGGGTGTAGAGCTATATTTGTTCAAGCACCGGATTGGCAAAACAGGAGAGTGTGTGCACCAGTCTGCCTTGATCTATGTGATTCATGTCTGTGACTCTCACAGTATCTGCTGCCCACAGCTGTTTTATAGAAGGAAAACCTCCTTCACTTCATGAAATCTCTGCAGCACCAGGAGGCAGCGGGAGGGTTAACTCAGCCTCTGAGAAGAGGAGCGTGCAGTGCCTTTCACGCACCGCCTTTCACGCACCGCCTTCACTGTGTTTACCTTCAGAATCATTAGAAAGGCTAAAGAGCGGTGTGGCTGATGTGTTTTAACCACACACACCTCTACAAACACACACACACGATTTAAACGCATACTTTTGTTCCTCCATGTTTCGTTGTTATTGTTTCACTGAGCGGACCCGCGATCTGCGGCGGTAATAGGTTTTGTGGGCTTTGATGATTCGGCTGTACCTTTAGTAATGAATATTAAATGTTGTGAGGAAATCTTTCCACCAATAATTCCAATAAGTAATCCAAAATGTATTCACTTCAGGTTTACGAAAGTAACTGTAATCAGATTACTCGTTTTTCAAATGTAACGCGAGCTGAATACAGTTACTTGATTTTTGTATTCTGATTACGTAACGCCGTTACATGTATTCCGTTACAACCCAACCCTGTTGACATCAAATACACATATGGTTTTGTTAAATTACTCTGGACCACTTTGCAACTTAAAGGGGACCTATCATGCTAAATGCACTCTTGTACGTCTTTTATACATGAATATGTGTCCCCGGTGTGTCAGGGAACTCACCAAGTGTCAGAAAATACAACCCTCTATCTTTTCCTCTATACCCAAATCTCTAAAAACGAGGCTGCAACGGATCTGATACAGACTGATCCAGATTTGAATTATTTTCTACGTCACAAAAGTGGTGCTCCGCTTAGTGGTCAATTCTCCACCTATCAGGGGAATGAGAGGTTGGGCCACGGCCGGCCTTTGCCGCTCGAAAGCTCTGGAGTACATATGCCAGGCCTGTAAGTCGCGCTGTAGTCTGCCACAAAAGCAGCGAAGAAGACTTCCCTTGCATGGTTAACATGGTTTCCCTTCTGTTTATTCTCCGTTGTGACTCTTTTTCTCCCTCCCCGAGGCAAGCGTTTGCTTGGGGAAGCTTTAGAGAGCTCTCTCCTGAAAGACTGAGCGGCTCTGATAACCTCAGCTCAGTGAGGTAAAGGCACACCTTTATATGATCATTATAGTTAAAAAATAAAAGAATAAATGAAAAACAGGTATAAAATACTATATGACAGTAAAGAAAAGTTGTTATTAACCTGTTAAGCCCGAGAGACCCCGGCACCGGGGCCCTCCCGCAACATCTTGCAGGAAACAGTGTCTGAGGGCATGTTCATTTAATAAACTATGAATGTTTTATATCCATGTAACGGGAAGAAACTCATCTAACTGATCATTTTAATTTTATTTTTTTTAAAAACCCCACAATGCTAACGCTGAGCCTCTGAATTAGCAACGAGCGAAAAATGCTAACAGATTACTGCACCGAAATGCATTACACCTCTTTAGATTATATGAAAGGATGTATTCACTTTGTATCAATAGGATTGGATCATCCATAATTTAATCAATATATAAATTCAGATATATTGTGATGGCCATAATAAACAAATAGTATTGTCAAACTATTCAGGTCCAACTCGCAACTTAATCAAAAGCATTGATTGTAAGTCTACAAAGAATAAAGACATTACTGTGCCTAGAAGTGGTGGAAAAGCTTGACACAGTAATCAGTCACATCGGAGATTATTTGTTGTTTATTTTAAATGTAAATTGTAGTTTCTTGCATCCAAAAGCAGCTCTGACAATTAAATACTTTACTTTGGAAAACAAACAGCCGCAACAGCGGAAGCAAGAATCAAACAGCTCATTTTATGACATCCAAATTGATTTAACCACAGAGGGCTGGGTGTTGAAATGGTTGGCAGTTCCTGGAAGCCTTGCTGCATTAGCGAGTTTCTATCATTAGACTACTCAGTAAAAAAAGAGACAATTTGGTCAAACAGTTGCCCGTCCCTCTTCTAGTAGAGATATCATCTCTACGACTAGAAAAACCTTCCCAGAAAACACAGAGAGGACAGGGATGCTCATTTACTTTGCTGAACTCTCCCAGTCAGGATGTTTACCGGTTTCCTCTTTCTGCTCCTCCTCACAGGTAAGCTGGGAGAATTCTATATGTTGCATGCAGGTGGGACTTCTCTGTTGCCACTCCAATATCATTGAGGGGAATGAAGGTTTGTTTGTGATGCAGCATAATAAAGGAACAAAGGATGATACTACAAGCAACATCTATTTACAAAAAACACAATTTTCCAACTCTTTCATAATTTTCCAACATAGTATGTGGATTATTCAGAGTAGCAGGTATGTCCCTGGGAAGAGAAGTTGCTTTTGTTAAAAATGACCATTTGTGTGCATGAACATAACATTAAATGTAGAGCTCTATTCTCTTTTCTGTCAGGTGGAAGTTCCTAACAGTTACACAACACTTTAACCTGCTTCAATTGAATCACTTTTCAAGCTGTATACTTTTTTCCGTCAGGTGGAAGTACCAACAATAACTCAAAGGACGACAATAACAATGGTGTGTAAAGGAAAAAACACAACAAATTACAGTAATTATGTATTGCTCTATTTTTATTATACGTATAGAAGTCTTGAAAAATAATACACTTGTCTGTTTACTGCATTATATAATTCAAATGACTTTTTTGTTTAATTAAACTGATAGATATGTTACTGGTGTGAACAATAAAAACTGAATGATATAAAGAAACTTAATTTGTTGAGAATGCATGATGTCTGACATAACCATTATTTGACAGTGAAGTGAGCTCCACAAATCCCATTTACCTTCTTTGATGGGTAAACCATATAGGAGATTGATATCTCAAAATAATTTAAACCAAACAATATCTGTAGATGCAGTTTAAAATGTTTTGTGGGAAAGCAGTTTGTGTGTGTGCATGGAAATAATATCGAATGTAGAGCTGTATACTTTTTTCTGTCAGGTGGAAAAACAATCAATAACTTGGAACAACAAAGGCTTAATGGCCAACGCTCCATTGAGAGAGGACCATGTGATCATGACAGTAAGAGTAAGTACACAGTAATTATTCTATTTCTACTTTATTAATATAACTCTTTAAAAATGAATACACTTCACTGGATAAGTTTAACGCAGTTTTTGTCACAAGGTAATACAACTGATAGATATGTTACTGGTGTGAACCGTAATCAGAACACTTATATAAAGAAACTAAACTTGGTTTGTTGAATGTATGAGGTCTGACGTTGAAGCATTTTGACAAGGTGGAGCAGATGGACCTCAAATGGAGAGCCTCATTTAAATGTAAAAAAATAATTGGTAAAATGCTCACATTTAAAAGTGATTAGTGGACTGATGACACAGATCCCTGCTGTCCTGCCGACACCCATCTAATGATGACCTTTCAGTGTCCACAACCACTGGATATTACAACAGATAAGACAAGACTTATTTCTAAGTGGCAAGTTAGTCAACAAGAAGGATGAGTAAATGATACCAGATATTTTAAGGGGGTGGTGAAGCTGTAAGTAGAGTACTGACCCACTGTGGAGTCTAAAACCTGGTGGTGATGATGAGATGAGGAAGATACTGAAGCTCTGTGTGTGATGAGGAGTGGTCATTTGATGAGCTCAAAGTGGGCATCAGGTACAGTATGTTGATAAATAGGGTGTGGTAAATAGGCTAAATTGACGGACAGCAACTACTGACTGCCTGATGGATATCATGGCAACATCTTGTTGGTTTAACTGAATGAGTGAACGCCCATAATCAGTTGGTTAAGGACATGGGAGGAGAGAGAGAGAGAGAAAGAGAGAGAGACAGAGAGAGACAGGAAGAGAGAGAGAGAGAGAGAGAGAGAGAGAGGAGAGAGAGACAGAGAAAGAGAGAGAGAGATAGAGAGAGTAAGAGAGAGAGAGAGAGAAAGAGAGAGAGAGAGAAAGAGAGAGAGTAGAGAGAGAGAGGAGAGAGAGAGAGATGAGAGAGAAGAGAGGAGTAAAGAGAGAGATGACGATGAGAGCAAGAGAGAGATCGATGAATAAAAAACTGAGGTCTGGATTTCCTTATCGTTTTTTCCTATAAAGAAGTAACTCGCTGATAGAGATATTGTTTTTATGTCCACCCAATAGAAAAGAAGTTCACATATGAAGATGTTTTAAACTTCCTAAATCGGAACAAAACCAAGGAGTTGATCCGACCTGTCAACGACTACAAAAAAGAAACATGGGTCTATGTCCAAATGTCAATTATGGCAATTCTAGATGTGGTAAGTGCAACTTTTCTTTTTCTTTTCTTTTGAGGATAATCTTTTTTTTTTGCTTTGGAAAGCAGTCAAAAACAACAAAAACAAAGATAACAGTTGAACCGTACAAACACACGGTAATACACATGAAAGCCAAAAAAGCAATCAGTAAAGTCAAATCAAAATATAGGATAAGATAGTTTAATAAGAACAAAAGACTCTCAAAAAACAGCTCAGCATACATTTCAATATAGCATGCAATTCTTCCTGACTGATAATAATAATAATAATAAAAATAATAATAATAACACTTATATAGTGCCTTTCAGGGGACCAAAGGTCGCTTTACAGAAAAAACAGGAATAAAACAAACCAAAAAAAAAGTCAGACAAACAGTCAGACAGACAAAACAACAAATCAATTAGGAGCCGATGGCCTTGGCAAACAGGTGGGACTTGAAGGCCCTTTTAAAGGCGTCAAGAGTGGGGATGTTGCGGATCACCGCAGGGAGAGCGTCATAGTACGATTTGTACCAGATCAGTACTTGTACATAGTATCTCTAGGAAACAGCTATATACTAGCACTATTGAAGGAAGCATAAACAAGTCAGAATAGTGCGACAAAGTGTCCACAAAAATGATGTCAACCCAAAAATAATACCTTTAATCAATTTCTCCCCCAATGCTACCTTAAATGTTGAAGAAACATCGTTGGGGCTTTGCTTAGTGTGATCCCGTTAATGCAGCGAAATCACAAAGTGGGTTTACAAAGGAGCTTTTACTTCTTTTCAACTTGCTGAAGGTAGTCAGCATGTTAACTTCAAAGTGCAATGTTTTATGACAGTTTTGCCTATGTGAGGTCAGCTACCTTAATGTGGTAAAAATGTTCACACCATTTATTCGGTTACAGAGAGAGATTGACCAGACTTTCGTTTCTTTCGTTGGGATTTATATGGTGAGTTTGTTTTGAGAACCAATTTGTGATTTTCCTATACTCTTTATTATACTGAAGGTTGAAATTAGTTGCTGTAGATTGCATCTTAAAGGTCTTTTTCTCTTTTTTTCCTTCCCTTCTTCCTTGTTTTCCTGTGTAGAAATGGGAAGATCCGCACATTTTTTGGAAACCATGTCACTTTGGTGGCCTTGATAAGATGAGAGTTCCTGCAGATATGTTGTGGAAGCCAGATCTAATGATTGAAGAGATGTAAGTTGGAATCTTTTGTGCATACTCACAAATCCACACACTCACAAGAGTAAATGGGGATGGAGCCTGTTATTATTAAGAGGGACATGCACAATAAATCATATGGATGTAAAAAAAATTATGCAACAAGGTTTAAAAATATTGTTTTTTTACAATTATATTTTTACACCAATGTATTGTGTGGACAACAGCTGTGGTTAGAATGCAATAAACAATGAAGCAAATACCCCTTAACTGACTTGAGCCGGGTTAATCATATTTAAGATATAGAGATGTGTGATATTGTTAAACTGTGTGTGATAGTATTTCTATATTTAAAATAATGAGGGAACATTTTAGGAAAATACAGACCTAAACAATAGTATCATAATTTAGATAAATGTTTCATTGTATTAAACTTTAATACAATGAAACATTGTGTAATACTTTAATAATTAAAGTATTACACAATGTAAAAACCAGTTTGAAGCATAAAGTGTTTGCTATAATTTGTACAAATGCGTTGTGTCTCGTCAGATTTGTTAGTATTATTTCTCTTTTTAGTTAATATAGTCGAGTCTGCGTCTGCTAACCCTTTTTTTATTGTCTGTCATTTCCTGTTTTACTTTTTAATCTCTTCTCTCATTTCAGGTAGTCCTACCCTGTCAGTGTGTTAACTGACCTGATTACCTGCCCCCCTTATTGTTTGCACCTGTAGTCCCTTGTGTGTGTATTTATTCTGTGTTTTCTCTGTGCCAAGTGCCAGATCGTTTCGACCCTTGTGTTACTTGTGAGCCAGTTGTTTTCTGAGCTACAGTGAATCTAAGTTAGTTTTTTGTGAAGTCATTTGGGAGTTTTGTATTACCTTGCTTTTCACCACAAGTAAATCCTTTTTTTGAATAATCTTTTGTCTGGAGTCATGCATTTGGGTCCGATCATTTTTGTGTGTGCCCCAGTCGTAACAAAATGTATGTTTGTTGTCATACAGGATAGAGAAGGACAAGGCTGTTCCAAATGCCTTTATCACCATTAACTCAAACAATCTCGTTGAATATGTGAGGGACCTTATGGTGGTCAGCACGTGCAAGATGCAAGTTTACAAATTTCCTTTTGATATTCAGAGCTGCAACTTGTCTCTCAAGTCTATCGGTTACCCAGGTGAGCTTTCAGAAGTTTCTAGACATGTATCTCAAATATGTAGGTTGTGTGTTTGATTGCATGTTTGTGGTAATTATCTCTTTAAAGGCTAATTGTCACATGAGCACAAACCAGTCTGTGTTGACCTGATAAGACATCTCAAACTTGTTTCTTCACTTTCACCTTAGAGGATGAGTTGAAGTTTGAAGCCATAGAAAACAGTACAGTGGTAACTGAATGGACACGCCAAATGATGAGGAACCAGTTTGAGTGGCTTTTCATCAGCATGACAGTCAAGAACACATCTGTCCGACATTTTTATCAAAACAAAAACGTTATAATTTATACTGTAAGTGTGTTGTACATTTTACTTTTATTTATTTCTACAAACATTTGCATGAAAATGTCTGCAGCTCCACTTGCTGGTTTTATTTAGCTTGCATTCTAAACAGCAGAATAAAAAAGAGCAAACCCATTGACATTGTTGTTCATTGGATACATTGTAATCGCACATTTTTGATGGTGATCGCTTAGTCATCCTTAACCACTGTGACAAAATATAAAATATAGCTAAATTATATAAACACTTAACTTCATATTTCAGTGGAGCAATATCTTTCATATTGCATGCAAAATAACTTAAACCCATAATCAATATTGTTTTTGATCATTGCAGCATTAGTGAACAGATTCACTGTTTTTCCATCTTGGATCACAGATCACGATGAGGAGGCGTTCTGCCCTCTACATCGCCAACTTCTTAGTGCCCATCCTGTTCTTCTTCGGTCTGGACTTGGCCTCCTTCCTGATCTCAGACCACGGGGGCGAGAAGCTCAGCTTCAAGGTCACTGTGCTGCTCGCTGTCACTGTGATGCAGCTTATTCTCAACGAGATTCTGCCAGCCTCTTCAGACAGGATACCGCTTATAGGTAAAGCAGCTCAGAGTCATTATTTTATTGGACTTTAATTTAATTCAATCAGGAACAACCAGGGGCGGACTGGCCATCGTGGGCTGGTCGGACGATGTGGGCCGGTCGGATAAGTCACTAGCACTAGTGGCTGCTCTTCGCGTTACGTCCTCCTGCCAGAGAGAGATTGCAGGTCTCACTCAGGCCCTTTAACCCTCTGGTACCGGCCGCCAGGTGTCCTCAATCCCAGTTGATAGACCAAAGGGAAAACCTTAAAGGAACATACACACACCAGAGATAACAAGGCAGGGGTCGTCACAGCACCGAGGTGGGCCGGCGGTACCGAAGTGGGCCGGTCGAGAGTCCCGGGCTGATTTGTAGTCCCAGTCCGCCCCTGGGAACAACAATGGCTTGCCTTTCGTCCACTTTAATGATGTTGCCTTTTCTCTTCAGCGGTGTACTGCATTGGGATGTTCGGTTTGATAATGATCAGCCTTCTGGAGACGATTTTGGTGATGTATCTGATTGAGAAAGACTCTGCATCTAAAGAAAAAAAGGCAGATAAAAACCGCAGCCTGAGTGAGGACTATGGAGACAAACAGGGCAACTATGATGGAGGTGAGACTGAACACATTCTTCAAACCTGTGGATTTGAACTATTGTCATATTGTATTTACTCATATGTTTGGAATACAAAAAGAAACTTCTACAATTAATAATACATTATTTTGAACATGCTGCTGTCCTGTGTCAACAATTTCCTTTCAGATGTGAAGAAATGGACTCACTGTGCTTGTGTGTGTAATGTGTCTGATGAACCGCCATCTGTACTGCTGTCTGTGGCCAAAGAGGTGAGAATTAGGTTACCCTTAAAACAAACGGTTTGGTATAAAAATAGTTTACAGAACCAACTCTTTATTCTCACCACAATTGACAAAAATTGGTATATCAAATTGAACAGCTGACAATTTGTTATGGTTGTTATGGTCCATGATCACTCCACTAACTTCTGCAGGACAAAAGAAGCCAACTGATGGAGGAGTCCAATTCCTTGGAGAAGCTCCCAGATGAGCTGAGTGAGGCGGTGAAAGCACTCTCTCTGTTCCTCAGCAGGAAGGAAGAAAGGAAGCCCGACTACTGGACCAAAGTGGCAAAAAAATTGGACATAATTTTCTTTTTTGTCTATGTCACAGTGTCCGCTCTGTTTTTGGTTGTCATCTTTTCAGTATGGATCAATGCAAAATACGAGTAGTGGTAAACAATTGGGGTCTATTCAAAAACATGTTTTTTTTATCCCCCTAAAATGTCTGACATTGACTAAACCGACTTGTATCTTTGCAAGTTTGTCACCAGAGAGAATTGATTATACATTCTTCTACTAAAGGCGCCAAATATCTGTGGAATAAACTTGCAAAACTAAGATTAAATGTATTTCGGGCAAACTAGATTAAGTGTGTCACAAATTCAAAAGCCAATCATATCCACAGGGAAACAGTCTACTACATTAACTATTGCTTCAAACTGTGAGTCCACCAAGTGCAGGCAGTGATGGACAGGTCAGGGCCAGATCCAGCATTTCTCAATCGCTTACCCTAACCCTAACACTAACCCTAACCCTAACACTAACGATCATCTAAACTTTATATTGATCATAGCAACACATTTTGACAAACTTTAAAACCTGTCTCAAGGCTGACTTGATTAGGACATTGCTTCAATTAACATGTTCTTTAACGCATCTGTATTCAGTCCCACATCTGTATTTTAGTTTGGTTGGCCAGAACCAACGTTTTAAACAAAACTCATTGTTTTTTTTAAGAGGGGGTCGAGGGTTGAACTGACTTGTTAGGAATCAATGCACGAACCCACAGGGGGAAATCATTAATCATAATGTATTTCTGATTAATGACAGCAAGATATGCTATGCTCAATAAAGAGTATGCAACCATATTACTATTATAAATGTTAACTTAAAATGGGCAGACGCTATGCATTGTAATTAATCTCCTACATTGTGCTATGTCACGTTACACATTTTAATCTGCCTTTAATGTTGATGTGCACTCATAACACTGCATGGATCACTTGATCATTCATGGTGTAACCGTACAAAGAAGTATTGTAAATGTAATGGCATAGCCTCTTAATTGTTGAACATTAAGAGATTTTCCAATTCTGCAAGTGATTGTTTCTAGTCTGTAGATCTTGTGAGAACTGTGTGCGCTCCCATTACCTGTGCTGTCCTTTTCCTGTCAACTATGCACCCTTATATACAACCTTCTGCATCTAATCACCAACCCTGTGTCTGGAATAATACTGCATGATATATCTATCATAATGTTATGACATGCCAACAATTAGCATAATATATCCTACAGTAAAGTTATAGTAATATATTACTTTAATATGTAATGTTGTAGTGTCCAATAAGTTCATAAAATGCATCATGAAATATATTGAAAACTGTGAGTGTAGCTTCTTTGTGGAAATGCTATGGAAACACTTATATTTTCCATCATACTAATCACGTATACTTTTATTAAGGCTTTACATTTGTATTTTCTTCTATAGTTCAAGTCATTTTAGCTTGTGGTTTTAAAAAAAGAAGTATATCTGCATGTGTATTTCAGTACATAATGTATTACTATTTACATGAAATATAAATCCTGCCAAGCTTGTTCTAAAACATGTTCATGACTTCATACTATCAAATAAACAATACATAGAAAATGTTTTTATCTCTTGGTGTATGTGATTATTCTTTGTTTGTTAGTGTGTATGGTTGTGTGTGTCCTGCAGTGAGTATCAAAGTCAAAGTCAACCTTTTTGTCAATCTTCCAGTTTTTTACAGACAGAGAGATCGAAATACTGTTTCCCACAATCCCGAATATAAAAACAAATGTATATAAAAATATGTGTGCCAATATGTATTTATATACACAGTCAAAGACACATTTGTACATGTGCACACATTAAAGGTGGGGTAGGTACGTTTCAGAAACCGGCTCGAGTGCACTAAAATTTGAAAGTACACAGCCGAAAAGAATCCGCCCCTTCCTTCAGACAGAGCACCTCCTCCAACACACATGAACGCGCACATGACGTCAGCAGACTGGTGAAAGTGGCCGCCTGTTGCTGGCGAGTCATTGAAGTACTGCTGCAATGCACGCCCAATGACGGCACGCCCAATGAGGGCACGAGATACCCGGCTAAACGGATTGGTTGTACGATTGTTCATTGCTATCGGGATGTTAAGAGCATTCCATGGAATATAACAAAAAGTGTATCTCGAGCCGGTTTCTGAAACTTACCTACCCCACCTTTAAGACCTAAATAAAAACACAACAATCAATATGTACAAAATAACAGTCACTTCAATATTATGAGAATTTACATTAGTGCAAGATTGTCCATAGCAGCATAAAAAGTGTCTGGTGCTAGATTTGAGTGTCTGAGTGTGTGGGGGTGTTATAGTCCAGTGGGGGCAGGGGGGAGGGAGGGGAGAGAGATCAGCCTCCTGACAGCCTGGTGGAAAAAACTGTTCTTTAGTCGGGTGGTGCTCGACCTCAGGCTGCGGAACCTCCTCCCTCAAGACAGGAGGGTGAAGAGCAGGTGGAGGGATGGGTGGAGTCACCAGCGATGCTGAGTGCTCTGTGGGTGAGACGGGTGTTGTAGAGGTCCAGGAGTGACGGGAGTGAGGCACCGATGATCCTCTCAGCTGTGTTCACGACGCACTGCAGGGTCTTTCGGTTGGATGCTGTGCAGCTTCCGAACCACACCGTGATGCAGCTGCTGAGGATGCTCTCGATGGCGCCTTGGTAGAAGGAGAGCATTTACGGACGAAGTAGAGGCGCTGCTGGGCTTTCTTGGTGATTGACGTGGTGTTGTTGGTCCAGCAGAGGTCCTATGTGATGTGCACCCCCAAGAATTTGGTGCTGCTCACCTGCTCCTCAGCAGCACCACTGATCATCAGTGGGTGGGGGTGTTGGGTGTAGGTTCTCCTGAAGTCGACAACAATCTCCTTTGTTTTCTCCACATTGAGAAATATTTAATGGTGCAAGAAACATACTGGATCCAAAACAACAAGCTGACCCATTGAATTTAAACCTTTATTTAACCTGTTAAGCCCGAAGGTCCCCGCCGGCGGGGACCCTGGGTCTTTTTTTCACGATACTGTGTCTCAGGGGATCTTAATATTTAAGAACCTATTAATGTGTTATACCAGATTAACGGAAATAATCTCAGCTAACTGCCGATACAAACCATGTTTACCAAAACAAAACACAAGTCTCACAAGAAGCATCTAAATTACCCCTGAGCGAAAAATGCTAACGGACATTGGCACAGAACTCAAGATAAAAGTACCCTTATTACTTATCGTAGCTGCACATATAATATATCCGATTAAAGCTGAGACTCCATAGATTATGTAGGTATACAGTATCATCACTGAGTGATCCGGACTCGTGACAGGGGAAGCAAATACAGTCATCACAACACGTACCTTTACGAAGCTTCTAGGGAGATCGTCTCACAAGTAGCTGTCAATCTGATCAAAGTACGTGTTCAATGGCATTAAAATGAGAAAAAACGCGGCTGAATCTGTTAATCCATAGGTTCTTAACGTCCATGTATAAAAAACTGATTGAATTTATAATCCATAATTCCATTTTTATGTAAAAATCGGAGTGTAAATGCTAGCTGCTAATGGTAGCCACCACAGCTAGCTGCTGCTTCCGGTCTCGGCGATGCAGCAGTCTCACACATACACATGACCAAATAAGGACTATGTGGGAGTTCCCCTCGATTCCATTGGCTCTGACTGTCAGAAAGAGATGTCACATGTCAAAATCGAGCAAGGGGGGCCCGAGATATGGAAAATCCACCCAAATGGCCCCAGAAGAGGGGTTTTTTTGCTAAATCTGTCTAAAAAGGTCAAATATCACTTGTTTTGCATCAATCTTGATACAGGGTACTTATTATATGTTGTACTTTGGATTCCTAAAGCTTTTAGTCTACTAACCCATCATCCAAGGTTAGTTTTCACTATAAGTACAAAATATTTTTTGGACGGACACTATAATTTACAGTTTTTTACCATGTTCAATCTGAATTTTCTTTAAAATAAAAAACATCTATATTGAATCTGACTTTTCTACATCCAACTCACAGGTTTATCATTACTTTGAGAAAAAAGATTATTAATTTAACCCTTTTAGAAGGGAAGATATGGTCATTTGTTCTGGGAATGTCATTTTCGAGCCTGAAACCTGAAACCTGAAAAACAGGCTCGGGGTTTAACAGGTTAAAGGAAGTCGTAACTTTTCACTTTAAAATAATTCTATAGAAAAGTGAGAGACAAACTCCCCACAGAACAAATGTGTTGGATCGCATCCAGTGATCACCATGATTCCTTCTCTCTGTTATGTGTTACGCCCAATCAGGAAACAGTTTGAGTGATCGGCATTGCAGTTCTGTTTCTTGGCTAGAAGCGGTATCTAATACAACAACGCCTCAGATTGACTCTAGCCTGGAGTTTCGCATTTTGGCTATAGATATGGTTTTTGATAGGTGACACGAGGGTGGAGCAGATTGCTGAACGACACATTTTGAGTCAACCAAAATGTAACAATTACCTTTCATGAACCGAAAACACACTGTAAAAGGGTCAAAGTTATAGGATGTATGGTTATGGTTTTACAAGAGCCAGTACTTGATGGATTAAGATGTATTGGTGAATTGGTTTGACAAGAGAAAAGAGGGTCAAAACAAAGGCCCTTACCTGGAGCAGAGATCATGAGTGCACCAAGACCCCATGCTGGAGTAGGGCTGGACATACTCAATGACCATCACGGATATCTACCAAACTTTGGTACATTATTTTGATGTGACAGCAATTCAATGTACAACTTGCTTTCATTGTCACTAAGGATTGGGCTTGTCGATTAGATTTACTCACTGAATTGGTCGAGGAGATTTTAGGTCAAGACGCAGACCAAAGTCCCTGTGCCTAATCCAGGTAAGGTTTCTCTTGTATTCATGCCCACTCGTTGTTCTTGATAACGGACATCTCAAAGCATGGACAAATTAACTAAAAATGGCCTGAATAGCTGGAGCTGAGTGAGTATTTTGTTTTCTTTTGTTGGACACACTGATGATATGGCTTGATAACTGATTTTTTGTTGTTGTTTTTTTTAAGATAGAGACATGATTTCACATTTCTAACTGTTCTTTTAGTTGTTTCAACTGAACCAGGTTTCAGACAGTTCATAGTGATGCTGGCCATTATTTCATTAGCATGCATTTGGTGGTATATACAATCAATCAATCAATCAATCAATCAATCAATCAATCAATCAATCAATCAATCAATCAATCAATCAATCAATCAATCAATCAATGTTTATTTATATAGCCCAATATCACAAATGTTACATTTGTCTCAGTGGAATTCACAGTTTGTACAGAATATCAGTATGGCAATACGACACCCTCTGTCCTTAGACCCTCACATCGTACAAGGACAAACTTCCGGAGAAAACCCCACCGTTTAAAGGGGAACATGGGAGAAACCTCAGGGAGAGCAACAGAGGAGGGATCCCTCTCCCAGGGCGGACAGACGTGCAATAGATGCCGTGTGTAAATTGAAAAGATAATACATTTGCAACATAGGTAGTCCAAATGTTTGGAAATGCATGTGTGTATAATAAGAAGATGAATCCACGAGGATATCCATCCAGGACTCATGATCCAGGACCACAGCAACAGGCACAGCCACGACTCAAGATCCAGGGCTCGCGATCCAGGACTCAGGACCACAGCAACACGATCAGCCATGACTCCGGATCCCAGCGTATATAGACACCAAAAATAAATTTGGGGAAGCTGGGTTAATCGGAACATGAGAGTACACAGGTATAGACAGAGAGAAGGAAGAAGTAAGATGTCCCCCGACAAACTAAGCCTATATCAGCAAAACTAGGGGCTGAATCTAATCAGCCCTAACTATAAGCTTTATCAAAAAGGAAGGTCTATATACAAATCTCTAATGGAGACTGTAGAACTATGATAATCCAAACATTTTATTGTCTTTACGTTTAGCCAGCTCCTGACAACATCCATCTGTGACCACAAGTACCAAATAGTATTGTAAATATTTATGAGCTGGTGTTTATGGGCTTAGAGTGAAAGACTGATAAAAAATGTATAAACATCATAAGCTAACCAGTGGCAAAATTAACAAACACCAGTAATGGCTCTGAAGTTATAATTTAAACATCCACATCTGTCTCTGTAATTCTTTCTGTTTCATATAATCTTTCTCATAGTGTCATGTTTTTTGTTTTTGAATGACATACATTACTTTGGATAAAACCCAAGCAAACATATTCACCAATGTTTAACTATCAAATAGAAACCATTAGCAAAAAAGGATTGTGGGTTAATTGAAAGTTAGTTACGACACAGAAGCAGTTCCAGGCTGAACCGACTCTTTAATTACTATTTGTAATCATGCTAATTAACAGCTAACCTAAGGCAATCAAAATACCTTTCCTCATTTTCTATATATTTTTCCCTTGGAAAAATGCACATGGGTATTCACATGACATTGAAGTATTAGATTGAAAACATTTCATTAGCACACTTCAAGTATTTGAACTAGTGTTC